ATTATTATTATTATTATTATTATTATTATTATTATTATTATTATTATTATATTAAACTTGTATGCTGCCTGACTCTCAATGATTCCAGGCAGCTCACGACAAACAACCAAAGAAATTACAATAAAATCAATAAAAGATAAAAGTTGGCAAACCTGATACACCAGATGGAATGAAGCAAGAGGTCTTACTCTCCTTCACCAAGGGCCTGGATGAAGAGCCAGGTCTTCACTGCTCTTCTGAATAACAGCAGAGTGGTGCTGCTACAGAGAAGGCATGCTTCCAGGGTCCTGAGAGATGACATTGTTTGATCAATGGAACACGGAGCGTGCCAACCCTGCAAGAGCAAAGTGGCCAGACAGATAGGACTACAGCTATAGTCATACTTCCAGTGCATCTGGAGGAAGCTTATTCCAGGAAGGCAGGATTCTTAGTCTCATTCATCAGACAAAACTCTCAGTTTTTATGTGATATATATATATTTTTCCTAATAGCAATTAACAATAAATGTATGAAAGAAAATAATTCAGTACAGAGATGCTTGTCTGATGGAAATGGGAAGAATAGTCTGAGGGAAATAATTAGGCTTGATTAATATACTTTAACTTTGTCAGTTAAAAAAAATAACCCCAATATACAGCAGTCAGGTTTGATGACTTAGAACTAGTCAATTAACAACTGCACTTTTACTGGAGCCAGAAAGTTTCTAGGCATTGATGACTGTGGGAAAGAAAATTGATTCTCCTCAGTCCCTGTTGTAAAAACTGGAAGAAAAACAAAACATGTAGCTTCTAACCAACATGATTTAAAAAAAAAAAATCTAGCAAGTGGAATAAAGATCCCAAGTGGTTTCTTTGTTTTTACCATCTCTTCCCTCAATAAGCAACTTCCTACCTCATTCCCAGGGGTCCCCACTCTTAAAAGCAGAATTTTGGGAAGAGGAATAGGCTTCTGAACAAAGGGGGTACTACTGCCAAAGTCTTTCACTGATTATTTTGATCCTTGCTATAACAGTATATTAATACTGATATCCACTTTTGTTCCTTGTCTTTGATGTCCTGGATTATCAAAGGTCTTGATTTCGGAAGGACTGATGCAGTTTGCTCAAGATCCAAAGTTCATTGAGGTTACCACCCAAGAGCTAGCTGATGCCTGTGACTTGACAATAGAAGAGATGGAGAATGCTGCAGACAACATTCTCAATGGTAACAGCAAACCAAGCCCCAATGGCAACCTCTTGCCTTTTGTTAACTGCAGGGACCCAGGGCAGGACTGTATGGGCGAAGAAGCAGCAGCAGCCCAAAACCCAGATTGTAGGAAAAGTCAAGAGGAGCCTAAGGATACCAGGATTTATATCAGCAGCCTGTAGTTGCTGAGGCTGAAAGTGATGCTGGTTTTTTAATTTGTTTCAATGTTCCTAATGGGTTTGTTTCAGAAGTGCCTCACTGTTCTCGTGACCTGGAGTAACCAGAACAGCATTCTTCATTTATTTCTGTCGGGAAGAATCGCAGAGTTGGGTGGTGTAAAAGAGCTTTTCAGGAGTGAATATACAACCCCAGCATGTGTCCATGAAGGAAGAATCAGGAGAAGTAAAAGGCAGTGTGTCAGGTCCCTTCTTTTTTCAGTCCCTGCACAAGGAACAACAGCTGCTTCCTGAATATAAAGGAAAACCTCAGCTTCCTGTGGATGGCCATAGCCAAAAGGACACTGTATCAAGCGGGTGTGTTTCAATTCTGCTTGTACAAAAAGGAATCATTTTGCACATGTTCTGTATGAGCCTCACTGTCTCCATAAAGCCAAGACCCTTCTGATCTACAAGTGGAATAGACTTCTGCAACAGATCCCACACATTGCTGAGGAGGAGGACGCAGAAGTTGCAAGATAGGAGATGCAGGTGGCAATATTGCAGATGTTTCTTGATGGAAATGCAGAGACTCCCAAGCAGAATTCTCTGCCAACCAATCAGAGCTCAGGCAGTCTTCTCTGCCAAACAGAGTTCAAGACAGTTAGCTGTGCCAATGGCTCAAAGAGCAGGAAGCCAGCTCTGTCAAAAGGAGTTCAGGCAACCCGCCCATTTCTAAGAGAGGTGGCGATGGGCTTATGTAGATCTCTCCTTGTTCTTGCTATTTAATATTTTCTTGAAAGCATGTTCCAATTTTTATTTTTGGAAACTTTATTTTATTGTATTTTATTTTTTAAGGGAGAGGGATGGAGTGTTTACAAAGTTTTGTAATCACACGCCTTTTTGTTTTTCACCTTCACAAATGTTTAACATTGATTTATTTTTTGTTTTTGTTTTTGTTTTCCTCCACTGACATTTGGTAGAAGCTAATGATATTAGGAGTTTTGCCAACCATGTACACCAGACTTTGTAATTTTATTTGAAGTAATGAGAATTTCCTTTTTTGTTGTTGTTTTATAATTTAAAGATAGTAGGCAATGCACTTGATATAATCTTGCACATATGAATGATTGATTTGGATTCTTTATAGTACTAGGTATATTTGCAGATGTGTGAACGAATGAGCAGGACTGGGTGAATGAGTGAGCAAGTGAATACACACCTGAAAGTGTGCAACTTGATACAGTTCTCCACTTCCTGGTTATAACTGAAGGAGAGCTTTATCTGGGGTGATTTGAGTGCAAAAATAAATCACTGCTTTTGAAAGGGGAATCAGTAACTCTTTGCATTTTCTGTTCCACAAGATATGCAAAAACAATGCAATAATATTAATTTTGAATAAAATGTGTGAATTGTGCTGGCATTAAAACTGTATAGAAAAACAAAACAAGGGGATTAAAAACAAACAAAAACAACCAAGTGAGAAGGAGTTATATTTCAATATATTCCGTGTGATGTTTTATTGCATTGATAATGTTTCTGTTGAAGAAACCGTAATACTTGAATTCAGGTCAGTTTCAGTATTTTTCAACTATTTTTTTAAACTGAATTGCAATTGTGCCAAGCAAATATAATGAATTAAGTTTGTTTAAGGGAAAAGATAACAATTCTTGTATATTTTGCTGCATGTAAAGTAAATCATTTCGTATTTGGAGTGTGCCAAGCTTTACCTTTGAACTTTAAGTGCTTTTCTACATGTGGTTGGGGGAAAGGGTATACTATTTTTTTTCATTTTTTAATTTGTATAATGAACAAAGTGTACCTAGTGCTAAGTAATTATCCTGCAACCCACTGACAGGTTGAACATTAACTGATTTTGCATATCTTGTGTTCACTTTCCTTATTCTGCACTTTCTTAGACATGCATGATGATGAATTGAGAAGACTATCTTGCATTTTGAAGCTATGGATTCTTATCCAGGTTTCTTCTTTTGCATAGTTTCTCTCAGTAATTCTCCTCACTAAAAGGTGGATAATTCCATATGCTAGGATAATCAGGTATATCCATTCCTGTAAACTGAGCTGGCATCAGCAACCTGGGAAAGGGGAATATCTTCTTTTTATTATATACCGCAAATATTACAGTGATTATTGTTATGACATCAAAAATAATGATAATCAGGAGTTAGTTTAATAATTTCTATAAATTCAGTAGGGTATATTGTACTTTTAGCCAAATTTGTATGCGTAGAGAAGCTACAAGTACTTCAGAAGACTAGTTAAAATATTTTTCACCAGTAAAATAAAAGAGAAAGGAAGACTGATAAAAGAAATTAAACAAGAATGTAGCACATGGCCCAGGAATAAGATGCACAACTATAAGATGAATAATAACATAACAGTAGCATTACTGAGAAGTATTTAGAGATTATGATTAAAAGTCTGATACAAGTCAGAAATCTCATAATGAATAAGGCAAGAATCATTTTACATTGTATTAACTGATTAAAACACACAGAAAGTAGTTTTTCAGTTAGCAGAACTACTTTACAGGACCATAATGAACTAGGGGCATTCATAAAACTATAAATAAAGAACAAATATGGAAAGATGTGATATGGGTAGCATACTAAAAAAAGAAAGAAATGTTGACCACTTTCAAATATTTAAAAACAGGTGGCAATTGCTTCTGTAGCCCCAGTTCAGAGATACATACATGCAGCAATATATTATTCGGAAATGTTTGAGTGTATCTATCACCACCTACCTCCTGATCATAAGGAAAGCATTTTGGCATAATTCAACACCAACCACTTGTTTGAGAGTGACTGGAATAATTTGAGTAGCTGATTAATATTCTAATAATATGTTGCTTAGGATTAGAGCTGTACACAGTTTGCAATTCAACAGTAGGAAACTCTTGTGCAGGCCCATATGCTGAATACAATAATATAATCCTTTATAATATATATGTCTCAAAGTAGGAGGGGATGCATGTATCATGGTGCATTATCAATGATGGGGAAAATGTATATAAATCACAGGCCAAAGGCAATTTGATATAAACATTTCAAATAAAGTTTCTAACAAAAGCAGTTTTCTTCACAGAAGATAGATGAGTAGTTTCTGGAGATGGGTTAACATCTTCTTTCAAAAAACAAAGGTCAGCAGCTATCCTACATGTAGGAATCCCACCTGTTAATAACCTCTGATTTTTTGAATACTGAAATTGCTTATTCAGAATTCTTCCAAATCAAGAAAATTCTGCTCTAGAGTACCATTTATATACCATATAAAGCCCCCTTCAGAATTATAAAGTTGAACATTTAAACCATTGTTTATAACCCCTTGGTAAGTGCAGAAATCCAAATTAAACTGTTTCAGAAAAATGGTTTCTAATGTCCACTGGAACACATCCAAAGAAGAAACAACCATCTCTCTGGGTAATTGGTTTCATCATCAAACAGCTCTTAACTGTTAGGAAACTTTTACTAAAATTCATGTTGAACCTGTCTTCCTTAGCTTAAATCTATTGTATCATCTATTAGACTCTAGAATGAGAGAACTGATCCTGACTTTGTTCTATGTGACATTCTTTCGGGTATTTGAAGAATGCGATTATATCCCTATTCAGTTGTCTTTTCCTAAGGCTACCCGTAGTCCTCCACCAATCTTTCTCCAATCTGAAGAGGAACCACTGAAGAGTATCATTTTCAAGCCAGCTCTGTGTTCATTCACATGTCATGCCATTCAGCCTATACTTAACTAGCTTGATAATCAGCATGTCATAGGGGTACTTTGACAAATGTGTGCTGAAATCAAAATATATTCTCACAATCCATTAAGGAAATAAATCAATTAGAAATATGAGATAAGGGTACGTGGCAAGATTTGTTCTTGACAAAACCATGGTGAACTCTTTATTTTCAAGATGCTTACAGATCAATCTTTTTATTATGTGTTATAAAATCTTCCCAAGTATCACTATCAGGGTGACTGGTCTGTAGTTTGCTGGATCTTTTTCCTATTTTTGAAAATAGGGTCAACTGCTCGCCTCCAGTCATCTGGCAGTTTACTAGTTCTGCAGGATTTCTCAAAGATGTTATATAAGGGTTCAGCCAGGCCATTACCTTTTTCCCTCAGTACTTTAGGTACATTTCATTTAAACTCATTCAAAATAAAGATGTATTTCCTGAATTCTGCACTTTCATCCTGCTGTTCAAAATTTCCTTGTGGAACATTTTTGTGAGAAAAAGCTAAACTGAAATAGAATATAGTGGCTCTGCCTTTCCTTTGTTACACATAGCATTCTCCATGAAAAGCCAGCAAACTGGCTTTTCTTTTCCTTTTAACATATCTAAACAATCCTAAGCATTTGGTTTCTTGACATCAGTTCTACAGTACAAGGCTACCTGTCTATACTCTTTCCATTTTGTATGTGTCTGTTTCTGTTCTCTGATCTTCACTAATCATTTTGTGTAGCTACATTGATTTCTGCTGTCCTCCATGTTTTTCCTAATTAGGTTTTCCATTGTGCTTTTAGTATCTTCTGTTTAGGAACTTCCACACATCCTGAGCTTGTTCTCCATTCATTTCTTCTGCCATGCGATCCTACTTACCATTGATCTGGGTTTATTAACATCTTTTTTGGGGGGAGGGAGTCTGAGTTAGGTGATTACACTCAGTTTTAGTTATTAATTAAATCAAATAGTCAGCATTCTTGGAGTTCCTGACTATGAAAAAACATTGCACAGCTATTCTGGATTTCCATCCTTACCAATTTTTAAATTATTAAAAAACTGAAAATAGGAAAACAGAGGATAATCACAAATGGAAGGTATTGTGATCCTCCTGGTAATTCCATGAACAAAGCATGATGACGACCACAATAAAATCCTCATTGTGGAAGTACAGATATGCATATCAGTATAAATCTAGTCCACTTTACTGCCTGTGTTAGTAAGACAGTATTCCTAGACCATCAGATGCTTATTATTAAAAAGTCACTTGAAAAGAATGTCCATCCATTTATTACTCATTCAGAATTTTTATAAGCATTTTCCCCATTTTAAAAAAACATAAATGTCCCAGTCGTATTATAGTGCAAATTTCTTATTTTGTTATGTAAATCCTGTGTTGTACAAATTTAAAAATTACATTTCCCCAATAAAAGTTAACTTTGACATAATCACTAATATATATTTTAAATGCAACTTGCCAATATATTTTAGTTTGGTTTGCCTTGTTTTTGCATTCCACTTAGTCATCCATGTATGCCATAGCTGAGTACATTTTGGATTTCACAAACCTGCTTCTATAAAAAACTATAACAAATTTATTTTACCTTTTGTTTCTAGAATCTCTCTAGGTAATAGTACATTCAGAAATGTGAAAGCACATCAATTTAGCTGAGATTTCTTATAAACGTCAGTCTTTCACAAATATCCTACAATAAATAATTTTGGATACTTAGCATAATTGTTTGTCAAACTACACATCTGCTTTTATCTTAGCAGCACAAAATTAGATTTATTCTGCTGTATTAAAGATTTAGATTTATGTATTAATTTCTTTGTTTATCAGCAAAGAAAGCCCCCACTGATCCTTTATTTTTTGAAACAAGTGCTATCTTATTGGTCAGTATCTGACACAGAGCAAAGCACACTGAAATTAATGGTTTTGAACATTCTTTATTCTGTTCTGCAATGTAACTATTCTTTTTCTTTAGGTACCTATACTCCATTCTTCAAAGCAAAACAACTCCAACACTTTTACAATGAACATAATAAACATGTTTGATTATAGTCATCACTTTTCAGATTTGGCTCAGTCATTCATTCACCTACTGAAAGTTTGAAGATTCCTGCAAAAATGTTTTTAAATGTCCAATATATCTATAATTATTGATAAATCTTGCTCAACAAGGTCTTTGTGCATATTAATCACCACATAAAACAGTTTCCCTGGAATCAGAAATTGGCTATCAGTCAATAATTATACTGCCTATAGGACAAAGATCCAAAATCTGCCTGAGAACTAACTTCTTTCTTTCCTTCCTTCTTTCATCAGCTTCATATTCTATGAAATCCCTACAGAACTTCCACATATATTAAAAGCATATTATGCCACAGATTTTTATTCCAATTTTATTTATCTAGAACCAGTCTTCCCCTTGATATAATCACAGGCGCCTAGTTCATTAAGCATCTTGATCACTAGGTTGCAGTGCCTTGGAGTAAACTCAAACTTAATGAGATATACTTCTGTCTAAGTATAATTGTGCTGCTTGTGATTCTATATTAGGTAAAAAAATTGCAAAAGCATATGAACCATAGAATACATGTTCTTGTGGGCTAATTTGAATTGCTGACTTTTGGCCATAACAAAGAGTTCCCCAAACTCCCACTGAGAGGATTCATTCATTTGTTCAACCACAGTAGATGAAATATCAGAAAGTAAAGATGTTCCTAAAACTTCACATTACCTAAAGCTCAAAGATACATTTACATAGTGCAGAATATGAACAATGTGAACCTCAAGACCACATGCTATAAATCCACAATATGGCTCATTCTCATGCAAGAATAAGTCCAAAGAAAATGGATGTTCATGTACAAATTTATTTCAGATTATCATGAACTTTTCCCAAATTTTCTGGGGCTTCCAATATTGCATTGATAGCATATAAAAAAACCTCTAACGCTACTCAAATAACTCAGAACCAGTTCAAAGCTTTTCACCAGAATTAGTTCATACAATCAGTTGTATAAGCACTCACTTGGCAAGAAATTGTAATATATATACATAAACACACATACATACTAGCCCTAAAGTGTATGCTAACCCTCACTCCCAATACAAATATATATTACAAACTATGGTGAACAGGAAGTAAGACTGAAAAAAGCTAGTTGCATTATTTTACACCAATTGTGAAAATATTTTGAAGAATTAAAATAATATGCAATTACAGGATTACTTCTGATAACTTGGTGACTTACATGGATACACACATATTTTTGGTGTGATACAGAAGTGGTTTGCCAATGCCTTCTTTTAAGATTTTTTTTTTTTTTACCTCCCAGTTTAGCCTTGGATTTCCAAGATGGGTCTCCTTCCTTAGCTTCCTAGATCAGCCAAGGTCAGCTAGGTGTTGCCAGGATTTTTTATTTACAAAAGTTAAATCCACAGGTAGCAAAATACCAGTGTAACTGGTCATATATGGTGCTATTTCCTTGTCTCCTGTGGTATGTAAGCACCTTTTGCCCAGTCTTTGCAAATGCCAAACTGCTTTGCTATTTATTTAATTGGTATAAGAATTAAATTGTGACATGGCACATGCAGGTAAAACATAGCTGCACTAAGTGATGGCATAAGTAATGACTATTGGACAGTGCCAGATCTATGTGAAAACAATCATGTAAGAAACATGCTCTCCACGGGACACTGAAGAATATGTCATTTATGGCTTGATCAAAAGGAGTAGTCTCTGTACTGATAAAGTAGTATATGAGCTAGTCTATATGGCCAATTTCTGCATATTTCCTAACATATTATATGCATTGAACAGGTATTCTAAAAGGCTTCTGTCCAAACTATTTATTTGTGTATATTCTCTATGCCTCATATGAATATGCATAATTATCTTTTTATGCAAGTTACAGTCAAAATAAGTGGTAATATACCAAAGGCCTAGGGAAGAACATTAATAAACTCTTTACATAAGATACGGTGCTTATTTTGTGCTTACGAAAATAGTTTAAAAGAACTATGAGTGCTCAAAGCTCTGAAAAGAGATAATGTGTTTAGGGTAAGTTATTATGCCATGATTGTACATTTGGGATATTAGTTACATCTCTGATTAAAGAAGAAAATTTCAGTGCTCAGCTTGGTAGCAACACTTGCTTCACTTCTGAAAACTATCAGCAATCATTTATGAGCACTAACATATTATTCCCAATTTGCACCCTTTCTGATGTTGGTCAGTAAGAGCAAAATGGTATCCTGTAAGGGTCTAAGTGAGAAATTGGCGGAAAAAGGGAAGAGTTTGCTGGTGCCAGCACATTTTGCTGGTGGGTAGTTGCCATTTCAGCTCACATGGCTGTAACCTAGAAAGAGAGAGACTTCATATGGGTATGAGCAAAGAGCTACTGCCTCCTTTAAGCGGGGCAGAGTTTGGGGCACAATATAAAGAAAATTTGACTTCATAAAATGTTCTCTTTTCCCTTTGTATTGAGCTTATATGCTGGATACAATCATTGCACCACAGCTGGAAGCTTTACAGAAGCTAAAGACTGGGCTGTTTCTTAGAAGGGAAAAAACAATCATCACTCTTGAGTTTGTCTACTTGTGCAACTCAACAACTAACTACACTAAAGACATTGATTGCAAATACCAAGATTTCCATCTTCCCCAACCAGCTTGGTAATTCCACCAGATCAATTATTTTGGATGCATTTTTCTTTTCCTTTCTTCTGCTATGTGATTTAAATGATGGGAGGGAACAGGGATTAATGATCCAGAGCAGGAGTTCCCTTAGCCCCAGAATTCCTCTACATCGTCTACCTCTTCAGGTGAACACACATGAAGAAGAAGTGGATGATTATGATGATGCAGATACTGCTGCTACTGCAAGGGATCCATTCTGCTTTATTACCCAAACTCCCACTGTCTGAGGAAGCAGCCAAAGGAGCACTATGTACAGGATTGCATCTATTCTGCTTTGTTTTCTACCCCTGGCCCCATATCATTGATGACTATGAAGACAACAACAACAAAAAAGGGCAAATGCATTTTTTTACATTTCTTGATAATTTTCAAAGCAATGTATCATTGCTTTCTTTAAACTGATGCCAATATAACAGTTGTATGGGTCTCAGCCAGCCTCCTGTGTCTTTTTCTGACTTAGAGTTTGAGATCTTTCTATGAAACATTCATACTTATATACAATATAATTTGACAACCTAGGACAAACTTTTAGGCAATACATAATCCTTTAGCTGATCAGAGTTGCTGACATAAGTTGAAGCTTTTTCTTAAATACTTATTTAAAAAACACAAACTATCCCATAGAGAAAGCCCCTATATATGAACCATATTCCACACTACTTTACATCTATTTGTATCAAAACATTACAGTATATATATATATATATATATATGTCATGAAAGAAAAATTGTGGAACAGTAAGATTGAGCAGATGACTGAACAGCTGAGCCTAATTAATTTTTAGTAATTACGGTAAATACAATCATGAATTGGATTTATATTTCACAATTAAAATATATTTTCATATTTTGCAATGTCTAGAAATTAGATTATTATATTTATCTAGGCCTTCAAATTCTCCTGCAGAAAAAGATGAGGTGCTAACAGAAATGTATATAGAGAACTGCTACAGGAATATCGAACAACATTATCCATTGACCTAACAGGCATGGCAAGTCAGGGTAACCAAAGCTATTTAAAAATATATACATATTACACGAAGAGATGTAACATTATAATTAGTATTATATTTCTGAAAAGTACCTCTAATGTTCTCTGTTCAATAGAAATCAGGAAGTGCAAATGGCATGGAGGGGTGTGGGGTCAAAAGTATATTGGCCCTACTATTGTGGCTACACAATGAAACAATGTCCTAGATTAAATTAGGGTTTCAAAATATAATACATAAGGTGGCTTGAATATCTTACAATTTCCTATATCAAAATTGTCTGAATATAGTAACCTTTAACTTGCAATGGAAAAGAAATCCAACCACATGTTATGTAATGATACACATTCAATGCAATTTCATATGGATATTGCATTACAAGTAGGAAATACCATAAAGGTCAAGAGTTCATGAAAATTTATGAGGCTGGATCAGCTTCCCTTCTTCCTTTGAAATGATTGCTGCAGACAGTGAATTCTTGGAGGGAGAATGATAGTGTAGCCTAAACACGGTAATACAAAAAGGCAGGGATTTTCTTCAGAGAAACTGGATCCAGAGTTCAGCATATGCTACAGGGACTGCAGTACCCAGTATGTCTTTACATGCAGCTTATTCTGTACTGTATCAACCAGTGCAGGCTGATGTACAACCAATCCTAAAATCAGCCCTGATCCTGAGTGCAGTAATACTGGCAAGATGTGGAGATCAGGTATGAGAGCACACCCCCAATATGACCACCAGAGCAGTGGAGAATTTCTTTAAAAACAAAAAACTATTTTTTCTTATGCTCACCATTAAGGCTGCTCCATCTCCCTACTTTTATCATTGTCTGGGATTATTTTTTTTTTTACTATTTCTAAATTTGTTTTTTTTATGCAAATACTTAGCATTTATTCAGCTCTTGTTGGTTCCTTTTGGTCCCTTTTTCTTTTTTACAAAATAGCAGTTCTCTCCATAGCTGATTGCACATTTCAGTGACCTATTTATGAACAAGGGGACACCAAGTTTCTTTTTAAAATAAACAAATGTGAACTAAAATAAAGCATGGATATGTATTCTCCATCCTTTTAAGGTGCTCTAATTCAGAATACTAGCTAAGCAATTCCTCCAAGCAGAGCATTCAAGTTTCCATTTCCAATGTTGTTTTTCTTCAAAATTCTGTCAATGTTCTGTCATTCTAAACTCCATGGCTCCTAAACCTGCCACTTCTCACTAGACTGCTTTTGAGGGCAGTGAAATTGCTCCGTTAACATTTAAAGTACAAATCTTGAGGTTTTTCATGGTTGCTGATGCTCCTGTTTCTCAATGGTATTGTTATCAATACCATTAGCAGTATGGCAGCAGTAACTATCACAGTTTGCTATTAGAAAGGGGGTAGGGGAGCAATCATTAATGTCATTCTGGAATGCTTTTATTGTCAGAGAATAGGGCAAGACTTAGCAGACAAAGAATTTTCAAATTCTTTGCTCACATCTAGCAGTCATCCAGATTTCTACAGCCTAGATCTGGTACCCCTATCAGAAAACTTTCTCTCCAAAACTCTAACTGATGATTATTGAGGACATCAGGTACACCCTATCATAATCTTCTGACAAAATCAAATGGAATGTGCAAATTAGTACAGAAAAAGAGCCCAGTAACTGTACATATTTGAGATATATATCCTGGTTGCTCCATTTAATAATAGAAATTGAAATCAAATAAGTTATTTCACCTCAGCTTCTGACAGCGTGATTTTAACAGGCTGTTCCACAACAATAGCACAATAGCCTTGTGCTATTGGCATGCACATTTTTTATTGCATCTTATCCTACCCAATACTCAGGAAAAAATACCATTCAAAACATGCTATTGGTATGAATGTACTAATTTATTGTACACTTATACAACCCCCCTTCCTACTTTGAATGGAGCATGCGAATCTAGATAAAACAAATTATTATGCCAGAAATGCATTTAGTTTAATTATTCAAAAACAATCTTCCCAAACGACTTACATTTAAAAATGAAAATGATTATGTTTTTGAGGACAATAAAATACAACAATGAAGCCGCTCTTTACATGCGTTTGGCCCATTATCACCAGTTATTGAACAAGAATACTTTTCAGAAAACTGATTAGTAATCTATACCTTCAGTGCAAACAAGCCATTCCAGCTGATTAAAAACAGAACATCTACTGAGCTTTAGGATTGTCACAGATCTTAATGATAAAGTAAAAGTAAAAAGGCACAGCTGGCAAAAACAGAAGCTCACAAATATCTGAACTATAGGCAAAGCAACCTCCGTCCTCTTGAGTCCCTGGCATGTGCTTTCCAGTACTGATTTTCCCTTTTCCATCTACCTCCTTCTGCTCACAATATACAACTCTATTATTTCTCTGCTTCTTGTGAAAATTTATTCCAATCAGGCATTTCACAGTTGCAGGGGCTAAATACCGAGCCCTGCAACCCAGAAAGCCTATTGAAGAACTGTCTAGGATATTTGTTTGTTTGTTTGTTTGTTTGTTTGTTAATTATAGTGGGATCATGTGTGCTATGGACCAAAGCTGCAGATAAGCAAATCTCACATTTTCATTTTTCAACGACCAGAGAAGATTCATCACCTTACATCATTGCTAACTGGTAAATGGAGGGGAGACCAACCCATTCCAAAATGAAGAGGAAAAAAAATCCTCCTGTTATTTTTTCCAAGAACTTTTACATAAATTGTTTCCAGGCAAACTGATTAGTCACAACTACTAGTGTTGTACTGCAGCTAGCAACAACTTCCGTAAAAGATTTAGATGGGAAGACAAAAAACAAGGCTGTTCATTTCCTCTGTAAGTGGTGCTGAATCTGTGTGGTTGACCAAGATACACGAAAAAGGTCTTCTTTCTTTTCCCATAACTTTGTTAGGCATACTCGGCAGTCAAAGACAATAACCATTCTAGAAGATTTTGGAAAAGGACAGAAAAAGGATCAGTTTCTTGTCTTCTAGATCCCTAAAAGAGGGGTGGTGGGCTCAGGGCAAACAGGCTTTGGAGAACAGTGCAAAAAAAGCACAGTGGTGGACTTCTCTGAATGATGAGCCCAAACAGCAGTTTGCTCATGTTCTCTCAAACCTGATGATGAACTGCTTCTTCTCCCCTTGTGCACACCAAATTAACATATAATATTTTCTGACTTAAATCTTTTTTTTAGATGTTTTATCCCGCCTTTATTATTTTAATAAATAATTCAAGGTGGTAAATATACCTAATACTCCTTCCTCCTCCTATTTTCCCCACAACCACCACCCTGTGAGCTGAGTTGAGCTAAGAGAGAGTGGTTTGTTTTATTCATTACATTTTAATTATGTTCCTCCAAGGAACTCAAGA